TCAACAGTTATCACACCAGGGAGTTGACACTGCACTTGGGCAAAGAGCAAAACTCATCACACAGTGACAGACGAGAGGATGCTCTCTCTCTTTCTCTTCACTTTAGGCCCTCTCTCCAGAAATATCAGATATCAGATCATCTTTTCATTCACTTTCTAGATTCTTTTTTTCTCTGTCCTCATATATCTTTCTCTCTGTGTTTTTGAATTGTCTATCCTTCTTTACTTGGTTTCTCATTCTCACTCTCCCATTTACACATACAGTGCACACTCAGCTCTCATCATCTTTTTCCTCGTCCCTCTGTCTCGTGGGGCTGTTTTACTGGTGTCCCAGCTATGAGCTTAGCTGGGCTAGGGATGTCAATTACAGGACTATGATAGGGCCCCTGCTGCATTATGCATGGAAGTGTCCCGCTGGGGAAAAAAATGGCCTACAGCCAGGAACGAGGGATGGAGGGATGAATAATGGATGGAGAGATGGAGGAGCAAAATACTATTGCAATCTGTGTCTCACCAAATTGAAGACTTGCCCTGGTGCACACCTCTGAAGCTCAGGGCCAAGTCACCCTGGGTGACTCAGAGTCAGGAGGTTGACGTGTGAGAAAGCACAGGAGGGCTTTAATCAGTATTTCATTTTGTGCGTTAAAACCCAATGGGGTATCACCATCAGAAAGTTGTTCTGTTATCCAATATGCAGAAAGCTTTTTATTGTAATAAGTTTTGTTTGTCGCATAGGTGTATGTGTGCAAGAGTTTGTGCAAATATTCACTGAACGTATTTGTGCATAGTGTTCTCTGAGCCTTAAGACATGGTACATGAAGGAAATGAAGAACAAGAAATATAATTAACGTAGTGTAATCAAGTCTAGAACATGACTAAGTAGAGAAGAGTAGAGAGTTAATCTTTATTATACCCGAAGGGCAATTTGTTGCACAGCTAGCAGTCAATTAAAAAGCAAACAGAGATCACAAGCAGACACAAGACAGGGCTTACAAATTAGAATTAATTTACATACTGTAAAGATGTCAGTGGCCAAGTTTAAATCAAACATCCCATCATTAAGTGTCCAGTAGTGTGCAATAATCAGAAAATGATAAGTAACCTGAGAGGGTACAGTCCAAATTTGTCTTTCTCTTCTGTTAGCTCTATGAGTTTCATTAATAATTTATTAATATAAAATCCAACATATCTTTGAATATATACTTTTTTATGGATTTCCATCAGTCATTACCACAAGTAAAGGTGAACTATTAAAGTGGAGGGCAACTTGTTCAGATGAAGAAATGAAATAAATTTTATAACCATGTACCCTCAGAGTTGAACAAAAAATCTTGTGTTATCCCAATCAACAGCTGAGGAATTGTCACGAGATAATCAATAATGACTAAAACCAACATTACCATTTTGGTTGCAAGCACAAAAACATCATTAAATGTTGACGATGTTTTGATCATAGGATGTCAACAAGTGTGAGATGCAAAGACATAAAGGGGTGGAAGTTCTTTTGTAGTGTATAATGTATCTACACAGTTTCTGAGAGTTGCAGTATTACTTAGTGCTTGATTGATTGTAATTGTTGGTGCAATCAGCAGCTTTAGTTATTTTGTATCCTATTTGCTAATCTGCAAAACAGAGAATTTAGAAGCACATTGTAAAAATAAAAAGGCAAATGAATGTCCCAATCCTTATTTGGAAATGGCACAGAAACTGTTGAAAAGTAATCAGGGACAAACATTCATCCCCGCAGCAGACTTTCGATTCAGATCTGTTGTGGAGATGAAAGGTGTGTACTCATGTGCAGGTGCTACATATAAGAGTGTTTTTATGTGTGTATCCCCGACAGGTCCCTGATGTCAACTAATGTCAGTCAGTGTATCAGTGAATGTGAAAGATGCTGTTGTTATTCATTCCCACCATGGTGGGATGACACTATTTGTCACTGTAGTGATGGATTCCGCATCCCTCAGAGGAGCATGTGCAAGCGCCGTCTCTGAAAGGCTGTCTTTGTGTTTCACACTCACTCACTCACACGCACAGACACACACACATAACGCACTGCTGGAGCTGACAACAAAGGCGTGCTTATCCAATTGTGGGGGAATAAGATTAGGCTACAAAGAAACTCATAAGGCTAATGTTAGCATCTCCTGCTCCAGTGAGAGCCTTTGTTTGTGTAATCAGGAAAAACATGGGATTAGATTTGAGATGCTGTCTCGGAAATGATGCCCATAAGACCCTATTGTATGATGTTGACATGTTCCTAAATAACACAAGGCAATGGCCTGCCTTCCATCTGATAAAGCAATCCTCAGGGAAATAAAGAGTAGTTGTGTTGTTCAGATATCCGATTTTGCTTTCCTCCAAAATAGACTGTCTGGCAGACCTGGCCTAACCTATGTCTTTACTCACTGTTTTCCTTTATAATTGACTTGTCACTATAATAAGGTTATGGCAAGGAAAAAAATAACTCTGTCATGTGGTGTTTTAAGATGCTAATCTTTACTTGATGAGAGCAGCTCGCGTTACAGCTTACTGTCAAAGGCAGCTATATGTGGTCTTGTTGTAGCTGTGTGAATAGACTGTGAATCCAACAGGTGAAGTAATTGTAGCCACCTTGTATCAGAAGTTTGAAGTAGAACCACTTTTTATGCCTTTTTAGCAGAAGCACTATATTGTGTGGTTTATTACTACATATTGTAGTTCACATATGTAGACAAAGCTTAAAAAAGCAGACTAAAATTGAGTGAAACCTAAAGACATTCCTTCTGTAATGTAGATGCATCTTTAATGAGACCTGCAGTTTGCCATAAATTCTCCAACAAATTCTCCCACCAATGTGAGGTCAATGGTGGCTGGGACACTTAAGATCTAGAGAGTGTGAAAGGAATTCTAGACAGTCCTGTGTTGTTATATGGGCCAGGAGAGAGAGAGACCATTCATTCGCACCTCTGTGACCCCTCTCTCATTCTTCTGTTGAAGAATAGCTTGCCTCTCACGCACAGTCAGCCATAAGCCCCTCAGGGCACCCAGAGCCTGTTACATAAGACAAAAGTAAAGAATGCTCCAGAAAAGTCTTCAGCCATGACCTTGGCTTTGACTGAGGACTCTTATTGGTCCAATTCTACCAGGCTTGTCTTATGGTTAAAAGTCACATGTTCTGTATTCCTGTGTGTATGAGAAGCTGAACATTTCAGAGAGTTATTGTATAATACCAAGCATGAAATAGATGGGGTTCAAACTGCAAGATGGTTTAAAATGGCAAATATAACACTGGTCCAGACTGAAATATTGCAACAATTATTCAATGGATTCTGTAAAATTTGGAGCAGACATTAATGGTTTCCAGGCAATGTATTCTGCTGACTTTGGTTTATCACAAAATTTCTGCAAAATGAATGACATTGCCATGCACCTTAGCTGCACTTTGTGTTTAGTGCTAATTAGAAATTATTATATTTGCCAAACATCAGCATGTTAGCATTGTAATTGTGAGAGTGTTAGCATGATTATGTTAGCATATAGCTTAAAGAGTTGCTAGTGGTAGTAGTTGGTTGTAGACTTCTAGTCAATATCATTTTGTGGATAAAGTTCTTGTGAAAAAAGGTTAAAGAATCCCAAATACTTGACCCTAAAATACTTTAAAAAATTTTAGAATAGGTCCATTTGAAGAAAATTACAACCTCCAACAATATTTCTCAAAAAAGGTTTTAGTACACTCTATTTTACCGGCAAACTCAACACTAGATACGTGGATAATATCTGAATATCTGAATAATAAGTGTACCTGAAAGAAACTTTCCAAACCCTCATCAAACCTAAAATTTACTTTCTTGATTGAGGAGAAAAGAAAAGTTAAGGGGAAACCACATTCTTAACTTGTACCTTTTCAATCAGATATCTAAAATGGACATTAGGGGAAACCATTATCTATATAGAACAGTATTTACCAACTCACATGTGCAAGCAATTACATCGGAATTTAGCTGCTGACGGCCTTGTTATTCCCTCTTCAATTTTGCTTGGATCAGAGTTTTGATAAACTGCTCTTTATTGGCTGAAAGGCTTAATGAGGCCTTTGAATTGTTGAGTAAGACACACACACACACACACACACACACACACGTGCTGTCAAAGTTATCCTTACACTTTTATTAGTGTGTATGTTGTACATTATCTGTTCACAGGAGTGCACAGAGGGAAACACCAGTTGCTATATTTACATACACTCTAATCCTAACCATATCCATATGTTTAATTTCCTTGTGAGAAATGTGCAAGGTAAGTCTCAATTAACTTAATTGGTCGATAAATCAGTCATGGATATATGATAATTATAGATGCTTGTAATTTTTTAAAATATACTCATATGACAAAGCTTTGTTCTCAGTTCTTTACTTTTTTATCTCCATAAAGATCTTAAAAGGGTAAGGATTTGGATTATCTTTTATTGTAAAAAGCAACATCTAAACCCTCTTTAAACCTAAAATTTGCAGCATTGCCTTGAAGTCACATTCAGAAACAAAGTAAAAGAGGAGTGGGAGCTATAAAACCACCCTGCCTCGATAAATCTACAACAGTTGGGATAAAAAACTCTCAAAATTGGTTATTTTATTTTATTTTTTTACCCATTGTTGGTTGAGAATTTGAGTCCAGGGAACATGATGTTCTTGCTTGATGTTTGTACAGGGCAGTTAGGTTTGGCAAGAACACTTGATGAGTAAGCTGCCCTTTGCTAAACATAATGTGGAAGATGGGAAAGGGATGGGCACTTAGTGACTCCCATACTCATTAGTACGCACACGTGTTTGTTCATCTTAAATGGCGTGTTCAGGCTAAACTTTCTATAATCATAGGTGTGGAACATTACCTCAGTAACTCTTTGATCTTTTTGGAGGGTGGTACAGTGTCTTCCTCTCTTTGATACTTTTATATACTTTGGTTACCGCTTGTTTGCTTTATCCGTTTTGTTAATGCGTTATTTCTGTAATTTGTCTTCCCCAGCCCGCATATAATTTTCCTGTCCCAGAGTGCATTGTATGCTGGGAGTCCTGGTTCTGAAGCGAAGGGCCTGTCTCTGTGTGGGTCCAGGATTTGCCATGAGATCGCCCATTCCTGGTTCGGCCTGGTAATCGGAGCCAGAGACTGGACGGAGGAATGGATCAGTGAGGGCTTTGCCACCTACCTGGAAGACATTATCTGGGCCCAAGCACAACATGTAACCTGACAGTACAATTGATGCCAGTTAATTGCAGTTTACTACAGCTATTAAATGAAAGTCACTTAATGGTCTTTTATTGTCACCCCAGGTTGACAAACACTTTTATATGGCTATATATGCTTTTAGATACACCATTTTGGCTAACTTGTGAAGCCCAGTTTGCTGTGGCCATCTTAAGGAAATTACCACTGAGAAACAGCTTTCCCTAATTGGAAATGAGAAACAACCTTAGGAATCATTGTGTTAATATTTGTGACTTGTATACATGTGTATTGTGCATGTGTACTTTCTTGTCATTAACTAGAAAGACTAGTATGCAGTATGATCCGGCACCTTTATACCATTGGTATAAAACAACAACTCTGTAATGAAACACATGTTGACATTCCAACCTTTCATTTCCACAAATTGTGAGCCAGGATTTCCAAATATTACTGTTGTGGTTGGAATGCATGTCAAGTAGAGCTAACCATTACATTAATGTTGTAAAACCGTACGTCAAGCACACGAGGAAACAGTTTATAAAGATGCCAAGTTCCAATGCAAAGAGGCACAAACAAGAAACAGAAACTACCCCTGAAAGATCAGAGGAGTTGGCCAAACAAAACGAAAGGTAAAAAAAAAAAAACACAGAATGAACCATCAAACCCAAACCCCGACCTACTAAAATGTAAGAGGACTAAGCTGAACCACACAAGAGCTGTACTACTGACACCTGCTCCTAATCTGAAAAATTTTAAAAAGTAGATTAAAGAAAAAAGAGACAGTGTACTTTGCACTGCTCCAGATGTCCTTCTAATTAAGGATACCTGCAGGAAAAAAAGATAAGCAACAGGACAAAGGAAGAGGGTGTAGCACTGGCTTGAATCCTTTGCTTGCAACACTAACCTCAGAGAGTTGATATGCATACAGATCTAATCCTCCCCCTTGCTTTCCCACACCATCTAGAGTTACATAAATGTTTTTCTTGTGTCTGCGCTGTTGAATCGTGTCACCTTTATGATATGAACTTGGCTCCGGAGAAGTAAATTCAAGCAGACTTACTCCTGCCAAAATCAATAAGACATAGTGACAGATAATGCTGCTTGCTTTTGCTGATGAAATTCACAGTATTTAATTTTTCCACCTTCCTTTCCCTCACATCTTTTATTTCTCCCTCCAGCTTTCCGTACAAGAGACAGCAGAACAGTCTGACCTGAAGGCACTGCTGAGGTGGAGACGACTCTCTGATGAGTTGAAGAACTCAGAGGAGGTACTTCAAATCCTCAGGTGTGTGTGTTTTTTGGTCAAGTACATCTGTTTTAATTTTCTTACCGTTGTTGCTACTATGGAGGATATAACTCCTTATATATATATATATATAT